ATAAAATACCTTTTTCAGGAGGGGCCGATGACGGCTCGGCTTCACCGATTTCATCAAACTCTAACAACAGCGTTTCCGTTCCATTATCGTCCGTCAGGATCCGTATTTTGTCCACTTTGTTGAAGTCTAAAATGAAACTACGTGAGAAAAGCCCTGGGACCAAACGATAAGAGAAAAAATGCGAAAATTTAAAAAAAAAAAAATAAAACGAAGCCGACCAACGTCCGGGACACTGGCGTCCAGCGCAAGATAGTACTCGCCATCTTCGCCAACAATCACCTGGCCCACCGTCTTTTCTTCCAGCACTTCAGCTTCGTTATCCTGAAAATCAGCTTTCAGATTGCCTTACTGTAATTTTATTTTTAGATAATGTGTATTTTATGTAAAAAGTAAGGGTTAAAAGGGATAAAAGAAAGGTGAATAAGCTAAATCGGTTTAAAAAACCTGAATAGGAATGTTTCGGTCCATTAAGTCGCATACATTCCTGTTCAGTGCTGTATATCTTGACCTACGACCTCAAATCCGGACTTAGCTCAACTTTAGAATTCGCAAAATCCTTCCTGATGCATAGGATCAATGATTTTAATGATTCCCTTCGACTGACTTAAACAATATTAGCGCTTGTTGTAACCAACTGGGGAAGAAATGCCAAGGCATCTACTGGCTTCAAAAAAAAAAACAACGCTGATATATAGGGAATAAAAACAAAAAATTTATCCACGAAAATAATAAATATCTAATTGTTTTCCAACAATAATATTCCTCTAATGCTCAAAAAGAGTGCTCCTCCTCTCCCCCCCCCCTCCTCCCAGTTACTTTTTAAAGTCGAATATGAAGCAAGCAACGAAAAAAGCGAATTTTTGCATAGTCCGGTCTGTGTTTACAGCTAAGGGATGAAACATAGACTGCGCGGTAAAATGTCTTTTTATACATGACACTTTCCAACTCTACTATTCTTACCCAGAAAAAACGAAAAAAAAAAAAAACAGGAGAACGGCAGTCAGCATTACTACCATGTTTTTCGTTAGAAAATGCAATTCTGGTCACAAAAATCACGAAAAAACTGTCTATTTCCTTCAAAATAACGAGGAAACGATAGCGGCCATGTAGTTTTCGTTATAAAAATCAAAAATCCGCCCGCCACCTTCAAAATAACGAGAAAACAGGAGCTGATCAAAGTACCAAGCCAAAAATTGATATAAAATTTTATGAAAATAACATTATTGATGTGATATGAACTGATTATGTAAGAGGATAAGTTAACTGTTACCTCCAAGTGTTCCTTCGATGACACCTCGCTGGCTTCATCACCACCATTGCCCACTTCTTCTTCAATCCGTCGCAATAAACTGGCGAAATGCCCACTGCCCTTGTCATGTAGCGTCAAATCTAAAGAAATAAAGGCTTAGAATGATAATAGGTGTTTTGGAAAATTTTTGAGAAATGTAAACTATGAATGTTTGTTTGGCGCTGTAGGCCCTGCGATGAAAGGGACACAGTCGAATATTGTCAATTGTGGGAAAGCAGCAGTGAGTGCTAATTCAGATACCCAGATAAGCGAGCCTGTATGTGCATTAGCTGTTGTCCTGTCTGTGTCTAAACTTTACAAATTTTTCAATTTAAAGTTAATTTTGCTTTGTTTTTGCTCTATCTTTAGTACCAGCTCAGGATTTTTTTGAAAACATTATCGCTATTACTTCTCCACTATTCTCTATATTACCACACGTAGCCGTCGGCATCAGTCAATTTTTAATAACCATGTTGCACCATAACTCCCTCCTAAGTAGGTCCTGTAACGGCGTGAAGCCGCCCTATATAAGGCCGCTGTATCAGTACTGTAAAACAGTGTCGATCCAGTGTAGTGTTGTGGTATTGTGGAGGTGACCTAGACGATTCACGAAAGAACGCGAACCCCATTAGCCCCGAACTATCGCCAAAGAGTCGACGTCCCAACTGGACAAGTTGCAGCATCCGGGGCAATCCTGCGCGGGAAGGAAGGAGGCACAGGAGGTATTGAAGAGAGTTTTCTATAGTAAAACGACTGATATCTGTCCTGTTGGGAGGGGCGAAACACCCATCGCCCCTCCTCTCCTTTTCCGCCCCGCCCCTCTTCTCTCCGCCCCGCCCCCCGCTGGACCCATCAATGCCGTGAAAAAACACACGCAGTTAAACATGTACAAACTAACTCATCAAGCTCACAGCCCAATCTTCAATACCTCCCCTATCCGACCAAATATACACGAC